CTCAGGAAACCTCCACCTCCAGCAAGCCTTCATGACCAGGGAATCTGGTGGTAGCCGTGCAACAAGCTGATGAGAAGGCTTATTTTGCTCATCAGGTTGCAGGAGGTGGGTATCATGAAGACACTGCTCCAGCGTTTACGCACCAACGTTCTCAGAGTTTCCATCTCAGGGGGAATTTGGAAGCTCATGGCCTTTTGTTCTGATTCAGACTGAAAGCACAGTTTGAAGTAATAACATTTCCTGTGCACGAGAAGCCCTGTTTTCCAGCTCGCCCTGCTCAGAATCAAAGGTTTCTCTCCTTCAATTCTTACTGTGTTCATGCTGTTCGAAGTCCCTCAATCCTTTGTAAAGTTCTGCAGTGTCAGATAACAAATACCAAAACTGAAGGAGTTTATACTGTGCTTTTTAGCCTTAAGTCACCATGCTCACTAAAAGGAAGATAATTCTATTTTTGTTTTATTGGGTTGGATATGGTGGCGCTGAGGTGACTTTGTAAACTGATGTCAGTCCCAGTCCGGTGCTCTGAACATGCAGAGTAAGATCTCAAAGCCCCAGGAGTAATTTAGTGCTTACCATTTGCACATGTGTCAGTTTGTTAAAACAAGTCTTCATTTACAAGGGCCTGTAGGGACAGGACAAGTGGGAAAGGCTTTAACCTGACAGAAGGTGGATTTAGATTAAGTATAAGGAAGAAGCTCTTCCCTGTGAGGGTGCCCAGAGAAGCTGTGGCTGCCCCATCCCTGGCAGTGTCCAAGGCCAGGTTGGACACAGGGGCTTGGAGCAAGCTGCTCTAGTGGAAGGTGTCCCTGCCTGTGGCAGGGGGTTGGAACTGGATGAGCTTTAAGGTCCCTTCCAACACAAACCAGTCTGGGGTTCTGTGATTTACTGAACTAAGAAAACATGAGCAAGTTATTTGGAAAGAGATTAGATTCAGATAACGTAACTGGCAAAAGACACACAGCTGTGTAAGTAGTCAGAAAAGGAGAGCAAATTTACATCGTAAGTGCTTTACATAAGCCAACGTGATACTTAGCATGCTAAGATTAATTCATGGTAGGAGACCTGGCATCTGGGATCTGAAAATATTAATCTCATTGGTATTATTATGGCACGTGAAAAGAAGCATTCCCATCAAATATCCTGAGTGGTGTGAAATCACACATGCACAACACAAATCCTTTCAGTAGTTAAGTCAGTGTTAACTCTCTTACCCCAGCTTAAAGTGTTATTAATTCCTCCACACCTGTTCTGAGATACTCATAAGCTTTCAACAGAGCTTTCTGCTATCTCAAACCTTTAGTTCAGGGGCCCTTTATCCCACACTGGGTTTTGCTCTAGGAGTTGCCAGCCACGACTTTAGCCCTTTAAATCAAGAAAAGGCACTAAAGATCAGACAGAAGATGATGTAGAGATGTGAAGATCCACGATTCATTGTTCCTCAACAATAAGATTTGTCCTGGGTTCAGCAGTAGCAGTCATGTTTCTCCTCCTTGGTAGCTGGTGCAGTGCAGTGTTTTGACTTTCGGCCTGGGAACAGAGCTGATAGTGATGTTTTGGTTTGGCCAAGGACTTTGTGAGCCTCATGCTCTGCCAGGGAGGAGGGGAAGCCGGGAGGAAGCAGAGACAGGACACCTGACCCAAACTGACCAAAGAGGTATTCCATACCACAGCCCGTCATGCCCAGGATGTAACTGGGAGTTAGCCGGAAGGGCTGGGAGACTGCAGGGTTGGAGGAGGTATCGGTCGGAGCTTGGTTGGGCTGAGGGGGGCGAGTTATCGGTCAGCGGGTGGTGAGGTGTTGTATTCTCTTCCCTTGTTATTTCCTTTACCATTATTATTACTGGTGGTAGCAGTAGTGATCTGTGTTATACTTTAGTTACTAAACTGTTCTTATCTCAACCCGTGGGAGCTGCATTCTTTTCGATTCTCCTCTCCGTCCCTCCGGGAGTAGGGGGAGGGAAAGAAGGGGGGGAGTAAGTGAACAAATTGCCTGACTGGGTTTAAACCACGACAAGATTTCACATGTTTGCATGAAGAATCAGCAGGGAGAATTGTTTTTCAAGTCTCCAGGTTTTCCAGCTTCTTTGGTAACCATGCAATAGCAATGCATAACATGGGAAAAGAGAGATGTTTGCTTTTCAATAAACTGAGCATTCCTCTCTTCTAATAGCTCCTGGCAAGATAAAGCAGCTAGGTTAATGGATATTGTATATATATATATTCATTGTATAGATCCACATTTAACTGAAGACAGGAAATTCCCAGTAGAACCTCCTATGAGACTCAGAAAGGACTCTCAAATCTTTGAGCCTCATTTCCCAGGAAAAAGCCTGTCCCTGCAGGCTGAGATTAAGAGATGCGCACTCCCCCTGGACACCCCGCCTGAAGATCAGCTTGGCAGGGCCACAGGCAGCATGTGTTTCATGCAGAACCACACAGGGTACATTCGCCTACATGAGGGAGACGGGCAAATCCAACAGCTTCAGTGTGCCCAAGCCGGCAGATGGAGATGGCAAAGCCCCAGTGAGGTGTTCCCCGCCTGCTTTCCCCATGTGGCAGCCAGAGATGCTCCTGCAGGGACTTATAAATAAGCATATTGTATTTACTCTGGCAAAATGTTATAGCTGCTACAAATCTGGATGCATCAAAGCAGTTTTGCCCAGCTGCTTTCTCAAGCAGAGGCCAGATGATGCCACTGGAGTGATTTTCTTGTTGCCATCTCTTTGGGGACAGGATGTGGCAGCGTGTTCAGTTCAAGGCGTTTGAACCACTGGAACAGGACTAAATAAACTGCATGATCCAGCCCATGGCAGTGAAGTGAACTTAGTGATAGGACCCTCTGCCAGCTGCATGCCCATTCCAACAACCGCAGCAAGGGATGCAGCGAGCAATAGGGCTAACAGGATTTAGCTCCCAGCATCCTCTTATAGCCTCTGGGAAAAAGAACTTTTTCTTTCTGAAATCTCAGCTATGCACTAGTAGCGAGAGCTCTCCCCAAAGATGGACAGACATGGAATTACCTTCCCATCTCAGTGCAGCAGACAGAGGAACTTCCCACCCCACCAGAGATGCACCCATGATGCATGGACTGGCTCTGGGCTCACCAAATATCCCTATTACTTGTTCATAGCCAGGGTGAGCAGAAAACAGAGGAAATCATGGATGTAAGGATGCCCCTGGAGCTGAAGCAGCCTTCTGCTCAGCTCCAAGCTAAGGTGCTGTGTGAAGCATCCCTCTTATTTGTTGGAAGGCAGCTTCCAAGCTGATTCATCCATTGTTTTTTTTTGGCTTCCCATGTATTTCATATGCTTGCTGTGGAGGGGAGGGCATTTCTGGGTACCACTGAGGGAAAAGGTCCTGGGGAGAGCCCAGGGAGCTGATGGAGGGGTGAGTAATGGAGGTGGCTGGGGAGGGGGGGATTTTGGGGGCTGGCAATGGTGAGGATGAGTGTGGTTTCAAGTCTCAGCAGGCATGAGGAGTTGGATGAGTGAGTCAGAGGAAGTCCATGAGCAACCCCAGAGGCATCTGCAGAGGTCCCTCAACCTGAGGTAGCACTTGATAGTTTCCCCCCATCAGTGGTCTGTGGCAGCATGTGAACCAAGGAGCAAAAATGCTTCAGGGCAGAGGCCTGGGACTACAAGGGCTACCCAGCAAAGGGGGGTGTGAGTGATGTTCTTAAGTTATTCTCCTAAAAAGCAAAGCATTCTGCTGCCTAAGAGCAGCACAGCTGGCACAAGTGAATGCTGCTGCTGCTTTCACCATAGCAGCTGGAGATACAGGAGCCCGTGGTACTATTGGGAACTGACAGTGGTGTGTGTTGGGAGCTTCCCTGCTCTCAGGTGTCCAGAGCCACTGGAGATGCCCTTGGAGAACTTGTCTGGCCTCTGGCTGCAGGTATCAGGGCATCTCAAGTGGTCCAGGATGCCTCTGTTCATGCAGCTGAGCCACTCCTGGATCTCTGCTGGCTGTGGTCAGAGCTCAGGTACCCAACACACATGGACACATCTGCATGTAGGGGTCTAACTTATGGTTTATTTGTAAGGTGACCTTACAGTGCAGCAATGGAGCAAATACTTCATACTGTGAACTACTCAGGAACTAAATTACATGGCATACATTGACCTTACATCCATTGAATGCATTTAACAAAATGAGTTACACATAAATATTCAGGAAAGGTTCAGAATGAGTACAGAGAAGAAAATCATCCAACCAGTGTGTCACAGAAATGTATCTTCGACTGGTCAAAGCTTGCTGTACATCTGATCCCTGAGCCTGGCTGGCTGATACCTCAGCTCCTGCTCTCAAGGTGCAGGTTCTAAAAGCAAGCAAACAACAACCTGCTAGCAAATATACATAAACACAGTGTCTGTGTAAGCTCAGGGTTAGAGAGCCTAGTGATTAGATGTAGGTTATTTCCTTCTTTCTCTGTTTTATTTATTTACAGACCTCAAGATGCTGCTCCTGTGCTTAGTTGTGTTACTTCTTCACCTTCTTCTCTCCCTTTATCCTTTGCTGTTGTCATTGCTCTATTGGTCAGAATGCATTTGTGGAATCATCCTTACAGACTTTCAGCAATCCTTGGGCTCATTGCTTTCCTTGTCTAAAGATGAATCACAGAATCATAGAATCATAGAATCATGGAATGGTTTGGGTTGGAAAGGACCTTAAGATCATCCAGTTCCAACCTCCTGCCATGGGCAGGGACAACTCATACTAAATCATTAGGTTGGGATGGACCTCTGGAGATCCTCTGATCCAGACCCCTGCTCCAGCAGGACCATGTCTATTTGGGTTTTGAGTATCTCCAGCAATGAAGAATCTACAGCCTCTCTGGGCAACCTGGGCTGTCCTAGTCCCATACCTTTCCTAAGGGGATGAGGGACAAGTCAGCAGCACACTATCTGTGATCTGAGGAAGGAGCAATGAGCTGTGTATGGGCATGGAGATAAAGGGAAAAAAGCCTCAAACAAAGCTCTTCTAGTGTCAGTGAGAGCTCTGATCTCCTTGCCCATGGCTGTCATCCAGCTTGCCCCTCCAGAGTGGCCAGGGCAAGTACTCCTTTTTAAGAGCTGGAAAACCACTGGGGAAGGAAGCAGGATGGATGCTGCACAGGGCATGTGGACAAAGCCTCTGAGCCTTTTTACGCTGGGATGTGTAGTGGGGCTTATTTCCGGGGACAACCACTGTCAAACAGAGAAACCCGGCTTCTCCCATAAAGCCGGGTCAATGTATCCTCCAGCTCCTCCAGTGTGAGGAGCTGCACCTCATTCCTATCATTCTCAGCAATGACCGCCCAAGTCTTCCTATGCTTGGCGTTCACCTCGCAGCAGGCACTCGCCCAGAGGTAGCTGGGTTTATTCACCCTCCCCTTGGAGATGTAGTTGTTCCCAGGCACAGCACCCACGACGACATAGGTGTTGTTACAGCCCTGGGTGTTCCTGATCATCGTCTGCTGCTCGTAGTTGTTCCAGGCGCCACCGTTGAGCTTCTCATTCTGGGGCACGATGTTGGTGAGGGTGAAGGTTGCTGTCCTGCTGTTGGAGTCAGAGTGGTGGCTGTTGGGGTTCAAATGGCCCCGGTTCAAACCAGTCAGGTTCTTGTAGTCCTGGAGGACAGCCTGGTGCTTGCCAATCTCCTCTAAGCTGATGCTGAAGTCATTCAAGAGGGTCCGCTCTCTTTCCATAGTTCTGGGATAAGCCAGGCCAATCAGCTTAAGAGGTAAAGAAGAGGAAAAGGGGTTAGTGTTGGGAGTAATGGAGTACGTTTCCCTGGAGTAGAAGTCTGTGAGTGCTGAGCACTCATTTCTCGTTACCTCAGTGTATGAAAATGCCTGAAGCGGAGAGAAATCATAAAGGTGCGCCTCCTCGAGCACACAAGCTTAGAATTTGACTGCTCTTGATCTGACTTGTGACCTTTGAAATCCAGCCTGGGACTGTGGGTAGATGCATGACACGGTGAGCATTTTCTCCTCCCAGGTTTGAAAGGTGATGTGGGTGAAACATCTCCCCTGCCACATCTGGTTCCCTTTCCTCCCATCTCCACATCCTACATCTGCTCAGGGCTCTCCCCAGTGCCTCTCACCCCTATCAATCACATTCAACCTTCATCTGATGAGGCTATCACCAGCCCTGCTCCTTTATTCAGGCTTTGGGAAAGGTTTTCATGCCTTTTTTAAACCAATCTGTCAACACCCTGGTGTTTTATGAGCTCAGGAAAACAAAACAAGAGCACAGATACCCTCTTTGGGTGTCTTAGGGAGTCTTTGAAGGTGGTCAGGATGGGGCGAGGATGAGCAGAAGAGCCATGGAGCCTTCCACAGGGGAGATGAGGACTCAGCCCCTTCTCCTCTTTGCCCCTCGCTTGAACTATGTGTGGTTGCTGCAGTACCACACTCCTGAAGCACCACTGTTTGCCTCCTCTATACCCATGCACCTAGAGCTGTGTTGAGAAACCAATCCCAGAGGTGAGTTTTCCCTGGAAGGAATATAGTGCATTGCAAAGATGAAGCTTTTTCACTCAGCAAACAAAAAATACCTCAATGCAAGTGGGATCTGCTACTGCAGGACTAACACTTTGTCTCGGGGCTGATGTGGGCTAGGGAGAACAGATGTGCTCCTTCTGCAGCAGCACTGAAAGCAAGTTGGAAATGATCAGCCTCTTGAAGGAGCTCATAATCCCCCAGGAGACCTGGGGAACATAAATATTGCATGAAACCTCTGCAGGAAGTTAACTAATTCACAGATTTCACAGATGGCCTGGGACCATGGTCCAGGAGGCAAAGAGAGAAGGCGTTATCCACCTTAAATGTGGAGGCTGCAGTGGTTGCAGTACCCTATTAGCTGCTTGAGTTCCTATGCAGTTCTATATTAGCTGCTTGAGTTCCTATGAGTAGCAAGTGCAAACAATTTCTTTCATAACCATAACACCTTTTCGTATTTAAGGAAACATATTTAGCCTTCCTCTGGAATAGGGCATATGGCTTTCTTTTGTGGCTCATTTTCACCTAAATCCCCTACTGCTTCTGTGTTCTGAGCAAGGACCTGAATTTCCTCTTCTTCTGTTCTGTAATTTGCTTGGGCTTTCTTACTGAAGGCTGAAGTCTGTTAGAAGGACGTTTGGGAGGGCTTTGTAGTTTGCAGAGATCTTTGTGTCTGATGGATGCTTCTGAACCAAGCCTGAGGCAATGGTGGTAAGCAGCAACTACAGGTGGATGGAGATCGTGCGCTTCTGACTTGAGTGATGCTGATTCTTACTTCTCACTGCCTGAAATACCACTCAATGCCTTTACCCAGTGTTAACTTAACCCTCTCAATGCTGACAGCTTGTTCCTATACTTTTGCACTGGGTCATCTCACCCTGCACTGAATTTCTCTGCACTTCTCTCATGCCACTTACAAAGCCAGAATGACTCAACTGGGAGCAAATATGTCAGGGATGCAAAAGAGATCAGAGCTCAGCAGTGTTCATCCTTCATGTTTAGGTGCTGTTGGATGTCTTTTCGCCATCGCTTGCTCTCCACCACACCATGGGACAGGGGTCATTTGACTTTGTAATGTAATGTAATGTAATGTAATGTAATGTAATGTGACTTAATGTTCCTAAGAGGTCAAAGTGGCAAAATGGGCACTTTTAGGAAATGACTCATCTCATCCTCCTGCTGATGTCTCAGATGCATCAGAGGAATCATATGGTGAAGGTGTTTGAAGTTGAATGAGACTAATCCCCTCCAGCAGTCCCATTTGCATGCATGTGGGGTGGGTGGGAGGAGAAGGAAGTGTTCGGTTAACTGCTGTAGCTGACCTTTTAATGACTGTAGGGTGATGTGCTGCAAGAGAGGACACTCACCTGGGGCTCAACCAGCCATGTGTTGGGTCTCTTGCCAGCTGCAGGCTGGTAGAGGTAAGCAGAGTATACGGGAATACGCCTGCTCTTGTCGTACAGGGTGGCAAAGTAATACTGGTTCTTGTAACGCTGGCAGATCCAGGCTGGGTTCTCTGGTTCCAGGGCTTCATTTGGGGGGGTTTTCCGGAAGAAGAACTGAGGGCATGAGCTTTCGAAGGATGTCACCAGCTCACTGTGTCCCAGCCAGAGGCAGCTTGCCAAGACCTGCAGCAGCAGCAACAGCATCGTGGGGAGGACTTCAAGTGAAGGAGCTCTTGCTCACCTGGAGGGCAATGCAGAGGTACAATCAACCTGGGGAAGGCTCATCATGGCCTGGAGTAACTCTTGTGTTTGTGTTTTGTTTGTTGCAGAGGAGGGACCCGGGAGAGAACAACAAAGGGACAACTTCTGCCCTCCTGGATATGGCAACATCAACAGGGGAATGAGGGTGAAGTCTAAAATAGGTTTTAGGTGCCTAGAGGAGGCAGCAGTGAGAGAATTTAGCTTGTCTGAGGAGGGATCCAAACCCATCCCATGTCTCATCAGCTCACACAGCAAAGCTTTTTAGGGAACTGAGGCAAGGTCTTGGGACAAAGCCACTTTTTCCAACCTACCTCTGTTGGCCAAGAGCTCAACTTTCTGTTAGCACTGGAGAAATAGGGCTGGAAGCTCCTATTTCTGAATATCACCTCACTCCCTTTGTTCTGAGGACCTGCTCACAGCAGAGAACCTGCAGCTAGGCACATACTCTGCTCAGCCACCTACAGTGCTGAGCTGAGATTTAGTCTCACGGGGGATTTGGAAGGGAAACAACAGTGATGCTGCACTTCCTACATGTCTCAGGCCCCATCTAAGTTCACATAGAGATGCAGCTCTTCTGTAACTCCTCTGTGCTTGCAGCAGGATTAGTCTCCCCTATAACTGGGTCAGGTGTTTAACCCAAAGTGGTCCAGCTTGCGGTCCTGAATGCCATTTTTGCCCCAACTTGCATTCTCAGGGTGTCCAACCCCAGACAATGAACTTGCAGATATATGGATACAGAAAGAGAAGGGGATGAAGGAAGCATCAGGGATGACACCTGTGTCTTATCAGCACTCTGCCTGTTGCTGTAGCAATGCAGATACCAAGGGGCAGCTCTTCCCATGGCTGCACAGGATTTCTGCTGATCCACATCTTTAGCTTTGCTGATTGCTTTTTCCTGTACTGTAAAAAGGCACTGGGGCAGGATTTTCTATCTCTCCAACAGAAGCAGGTCCTGTTTTGTCCTTCTTGGGTGTTGAAATGATTTTTAGCAGCCAGCAAGCTCTTTCTTTTTGGAGAAAACCAAGTAATTCCCTGTGATGCTGGCAGTGATGCAGGGTGCTTTATCTTCTCTCTGATACTTCGGGGTAACAGCGATAGCTCCATTTTAAAGCTACAGAGTAGCTTTAAAATAATGAGCATTTTAAATAAGGCAGGACAAGCAGCTAAAAGGATTCATGGAAGAGAAAGCTGCCTTGGCCTCTAGGACACAAACCCCACCTTGGCTGGGGAGGTGGCTGAGCTGAGGACTACCGAAGGCTTGGAAAATTACCTTGCACATTTGCACTTTCTTACACTTTTCCCTGACCCTCATCTGTTACATTCCATTGGATTCAGGCTACTGATGTAGATATACCCTTGCTCTGATCCAGGACATCTGGTCCTTTATCTCTTCACTAGTTCTGGATTAGGAATGTGATGACCAACAAGCTGAAAACCTGAAAAGTGAACCTTAAGAAGTGGTTTATCACAATACGCTGCAGAACATGACTCTATCTGCCCTAAAGCAGGCAGAAAAGTTACTGAAAAGTCCTTGTTTTCCACCACCCCCTCCATGAGCTTAAAATACATCTAAGTAACTTAATAACAGATACAGAGAAACCAACCTACCGTGTGGAAGAGCAGCACCTAAAGACTTTATTCACAGGACTCTGCTCACAGCCCTGAAGTGGAACAGGACGTTCAAATGCCTCTGCTATAGACTGAAGCTGGCTGTGGCCTCAGGGTGGTTTATATATGGTCTCCAGGAAGGCAGAGTTGTTTGATTTCTCAAACAGGGCTTAGAGTCAGTTTGTCCAAGGCTGGAGCCAGGACATGTGCTTTTCCAGAGGTCTTTTGCAAGGTCACAGATAGAGTTAGGGCACTCAATAACCCTCCTCTCCCCCCTCCCTTATTCAACAGTTGGATATGACTTTTCCAGGTGACTTGGCACCTGAAATGTAATCATTCAAGGTGTTGTGTGGCTATTTCTGATAACCTTGAATCAAGTCTTCCTAACAGCTTGTAGCCAAACTCTGTCAATAGGCCAAAATAAGACCTTAAATCCACCCTTTCCCAATGTTGTGCTTGGAAGAGGGTACAAACTCAACTCCCATCTGCTCAGTGCATGCTGTAATCAATAGGCAGTAATGCATTAGATATGGGATGTTGCCAGATCAGGTGTAGAGGAGTGCCAGGTTGCACCCTCAGAGCAGGAGGGGACTCTGCACCCAGCATCTTCAGTGCATCTTGTACAACCTTTGGCAGACTCCTGTGCTACAGGAAGGGGTATTCAGAGACAACCAATGCCTGGTTGTAACTAGTGCGTCAGACACAAGCAACGCCTGGTGTTCACTCATAGCTAAACAAGAGCTTGCTGGAGCCTGGGCAATAATTCATCCTTGAGTTGATGTTCAAGACAGGCAGGCGAAACTGCAGCCGTCAAGATGAACGATTAAAAAAACACAGCAAGACAGTATCTGTTTTCCTATGTTTAGACATCTCAGTTCACCATCAGGCATCTCCTTGTGCATCTGTTCCCAAGGCTTCCTTCCCATGCTGATCATTCCCCGAAGCATCCTTGGCCAGGTTCAACATCTGGCTGGGACAGAAGGTGAGCAGCAGGAGCACTGACACCACTTCAGAGCATCCCACCAGGTTTTGGTGACATTTCCAGATGCATGGCACTTTGCCCCACCTGCTGAGGGCTTCAGATCTAATGGCATCAGCTTCTGGGAGTGCCAGTTCATAGTGGGGTAGTTTATTCCCTTTGGGAATAGTGTTCCTTCTTTAAGGATTTGATCCACGCATCACCAAAAGTGCTATTTTTTTCTGGGATCCCACCTGATTTTATATTTTTTTCAAAGACCATAAGCATTATTAGCTCGTGTGGTGACATTTTCCAAGCTTTTTCCAGTCTCTTCTGCCTCTGAACCTCTCTTGTATTCTCCAGACCTTTACTTCTCTATTCTTGAGTTTCTTTCTCAAGTTATTCCTTCTGTCCTTGCCCTCCTTAATGTGAAATGATAAAGAAAGAGCTGCAAAACACAGTGCATGCAAAATCTCTCACTTTCTCCTTGGAAGGTGGATGTTAAAGCTCAGCAACTGCAGCCCACACCTTGATGCATTTATCCTGAAGCTAAAGAGGTGCTTGGAATACTGCAGTCAATGGTGAGAATGGAGTAAGAGCTTACCTTAAAGCAGAGTCTCAGGCCAAACAACTGATCTTTGCTTCACTCTTCTTCCTGAAGAAATGGTTGGCTGACCCCTCAGGAGCCCCACTGCAATTTATACCCAGTCATCTATCTGCCTCTTTGCACAGAAAGGGAAACTCACAGAAAAGAGAGGGTTTCTGCTGTTATTTGGGGATGTTTGTTCCTGCCTGCCCAAAAATGGGGTGACAGTTGCTGTTTGCTGTTTCCTCAGGATTTCTCCCAAGTTGGCTGACTTGGGGCATCACGTGTCAGAAGCAGATAACTGTGTCTGGTGACTTCCCCTTCTATTTCCTCATTCCCCATGGGGTACTGGCTCAACTGCTGCAGCACGCACTTGTATTTCTCTTCCCAGCAGACCTCTGGTGGCATTAGACCCCCTGGCCTGTCTCTGAGTACACATGGATGTTCATAGTCTGCTCTTATACAGCCTCTCAGGGTACAGTCACTATGGCCAGGCTATATATTTTCCCTTGTCTGATGCAAACGCTTTGTAACTGCAGTTGTTAATGCTATGCTATAGATTCTGGGGGCACACCTCAGTCTCTTCTTGCTGGTGCACAAGCCACTGCTAAGCCTGTGTTTGAATAGGATCCCAATACAGTCACTGCTGAGCCTGTGTTCAAACAGGATCCCAATGCAGCCACTGCTGAGCCTGTGTTCAGACAGGATCCCAATACAGCCACTGCTGAGCCTGTGTTCAAACAGGATCCCAATACAGCCACTGCTGAGCCTGTGTTCAAACAGGATCCCAATACAGCCACTGCTGAGCCTGTGTTCAAACAGGATCCCAATACAGCCACTGCTGAGCCTGTGTTCAAACAGGATCCCAATACAGCCACTGCTGAGCCTGTGTTCAAACAGGATCCCAATACAGCCACTGCTGAGCCTGTGTTCAAACAGGATCCCAATACAGCCACTGCTGAGCCTGTGTTCAAACAGGATCCCAATGCAGCCACTGCTGAGCCTGTGTTCAAACAGGATCCCAATACAGCCACTGCTGAGCATGTGTTCAAATAGGATCCCAATGCAGCCACTGCTGAGCCTGTGTTCAAATAGGATCCCAATACAGCCACTGTTGAGCCTGTGTTCAGACAGGATCCCAATACAGCCACTGCTGAGCCTGTGTTCAAACAGGATCCCAATACAGCCACTGCTGATTCAAATAGAATCCCAATCTGCCCATAAAGCAGGTTTGGTGGAGACATTCTTCTCCCCTTAGGAATGCGTAAAAGGGATTTGAGGGGATGGATACAGAGAATAAAGTTTGGTAGGCTGTTCTCTCATGAACGTGGAGGGCAGAGGGAATGAGAAGGGCTGTTCTGTGGTCACTCTAAGGACAGCTGGATGAAAGACACTGGTTTCTTACAGTATTAGTGGGGTGGAAATGGGACTAAAGGCTGCAAATAATTACGACCAAACACCATCAGCAATGGGTGTGACAAAAGTCAAGGACTCTAAGAAGGATCCCTTGTCCTGAGCTGCACCTTAGAGCAGAGTTAAAGGGGTCTGGCAATGTTTTGTATACACTTGGATTAAAAGCTGCAGGGAACATGACTATTCCATTTCTATACAGACCCCTAGTCCCCAGGCCTCATGCTGTGCATCTTACCCTAGATACTGAACCACAAGGGTTCATTTTCTTGATCTAGCAAATGCTCCCTCCTGTAGCCCAGTAAAAGCATCAAGGGGAAGCAGTTCCTTGCACTGGGTTTCACTCCCTGAGCTCTGCCCTTTCTCTTTGGGTCTGATACTGCTACATCCTGTTAATGCAGAAGATTGGCCATTGAAAACATGTCTCAATATACAGAAGCAATGATATTCTGTGGCTCTAGTTCAAAATAGCATTTGATGGATATTTCTGAAGAATAGCAAAGTGCTGAGCTTGATGTCCAGGCAACCCTTGTTGGTTCTCTGCTTTTCACACAGTAAAGTATCAGGTCATGGTCAGAGCACTGCCACACAAAGAGTTGTTATATACAGAGAAAGGAAGAGGACAGGCAATCAGACCATATTTCTTCTGTTTCTTCAGAAAGGACTTAAAGTACCCCCAGTGAAACATTAAGCAGCCAAAGCAGGTATCAGCTCAGATAATACAGTCAATACCCAGCTGTGATACCAAAATCGTAATGGAAACATAGATATTTCAAAAGCCCTGATGGTGAATTCCCAAGCAGACCAATCTGCAGCAAGCCAGCCTTGGATAACAAGGACTTTTGCCATGGAACTGGCATCAACAAAAGCTGACCTGAGTTAACTCTTACAGTGAAACTGTTTAATATCCTTATGTGGGTGATTTTCTTTTGGAAGTGGAGGAAAATGAGTACAGTTTAGTTGTGAACGAATGAGCATTGGGAATGAAGCCAAACTCTTCCACTTGTCCACAGTTTTAATTAAACTGGGAAAACTTTCCTAAGTGTATATATATACATATATATATATATATAAAAATATACTGTGTGTAAAATATAGATAAGAGTCATAGAATCATAAAGTCATGGACTGGTTTGGGTTAGAAAGGACCTTAAGATCATCCAGTTCCAACCCCCCTGCCATGAGCAGGGGCACCTCACACTAAACCATCTCACCCAATGCTTTGCCCAACCTGGCCTTGAACACCGCCAGGGATGGAGCATTCACAACTTCCCTGGGCAACCCGTTCCAGTGCCTCAACACCCTAACAGGAAAGAACTTCTTCCTCATATCCAATCTAAACTTACCCTGTTTCAGTTTTAACCCGTTACCCCTTGTCCTGTCACTACAGTCCCTGATGAAGAGTCCCTCCCCACCATCCCTATAGGCCCCCTTCAGATACTGGAAGGCTGCTCGGAGGTCTCCACGCATCCTTCTCTTCTCCAGGCTGAACAGCCCCAACTTCCTCAGCCTGTCTTCATACAGGAGGTACTCCAGTCCCCTGATCATCCTCGTGGCCTCCTCTGGACTTGTTCCAACAGTTCCATGTCCTTTTTATGTTGAGGACACCAGAACTGCACACAATGCTCCAGGTGAGGTCTCACGAGAGCAGAGCAGAGGAGCAGGATCACCTCCTTCGACCTGCTGGTCACGCTCCTTTGGATGCAGCCCAGGATACGGTTGCTTTCTGGGCTGCGAGCGCACACTGAAGCCGGCTCATGTTCATTTTCTGATGGACCAGCACCCCCAAGTCCTTCTCCTTGGGCTGCTCTGAATCTCTTCTCTGCCCAACCTGTAGCTGTGCCTGGGATTGCTCCGACCCAGGTGTAGGGCCTTGCACTTGGCACGGTTAAACTTCATGAGATTGGCATCAGGAATATTGGCATCAGGAGTCTAGGAATACTGCAGTGAAGAATTGGTTGTTATAAGCAGAAATAACCAGAAGAAGCCATGAACTTATCCTTCCCCTGAGGTCTATCAGGTCATGGGTTTACATTTCACTGATTTGTATAAAATTTGTGTTTTAATGCTTAGTAACTGGCACTATTCTGCCTTTCACATCAGTATAGACAGTGTCTGCATGTGCGCCTTCTGCATCGAAAGGTGATGTGAGTGATGTCGAATGAGGGATCCTGCAGGCCAGCTCTCATGTGGTCCGGCCTGTAAG